CTGAGAGGACACTGCCTGACCTCTGGCTGTGGGGGACAGAGCCCTAGACTTCAGGTTGAGGGGACACAGCCTGACCTCTAGCTGTGGGGAACAGAGCCCCAGACTTCAGACTGAGAGGACACTGCCTGACCTCTGGCTGTGGGGGACAGAGCCCCAGACCTCAGGCTGAGAGGACACTGCCTGACCTCTGTGGCTGTGGGGGACAGAGCCCCAGACCTCAGGCTGAGAGGACACTGCCTGACCTCTGTGGCTGTGGGGGACAGAGCCCCAGACCTTGGGCTGAGACAGCAGAACCCACACTTTAGACTGAAAGAAGACAGGACCCAGACCTAAGGCGAGGGCAGAAAGAATGGAACCCAGGACCTGGGTAAGGGTAAGAAGGGACAGACCAGAGACCAGCCCCATAGGTACATCCTCCTTCACCCCTTGCTGCCACATGGGGGCAGCAGCTGGCTCCCCACACCCCTGTGCCTGGAGCTGGGCTTGCCTTCCTGGGGCAGGGAAGGGTTAAGGCCCTGGCTCTCCTCCCCTCCCCTGGTCTGGCCTTTGAACCCCCTTCCTGGGCCTTCTCTCCCTCCTACTGACACCTTTGCCCAGTGACGTCATCTGTGCAGACCTGGCCGGAGGCTGGGACTGGGTCGTCTGGGGCTGCCATGTTCTCCCTGCCATCCCTCCCCTCCTGGCTCCCTGGGCTCCCCTCCCTTGAGTGGGGCTCCTGCCTCTTGGATGCCCTCCTGCAAGGTGAGCGCCTCCCCCACTCCCATTCAGCCCCACCCTCCCAGCTCTGGACAGTGCAGGGTGGACCCCAGGTCTCCTGCTGCCCTGCCACCTTGGCTGTCCCCTCCTCTGACCCTGCCCCTCAACACCCCTGCCCCATGTGCCTGCTGCTTCCCTCCCACCCCGTCAGGCCTTGTTGGGGCCTTTGGAGTCTTGGTGCTGAACAACCTCCTGAAGGTCTACTTCTTCGTGGGCTGTACCAAGTGAGTGCCCACCTCCCTGTCCTGCTCTGAGCCCCTCCCCAGGGCCCTAAGCCCTGCGCTGTGACTCTAACCACTTTTGGGAGAGCTGATGGGGGACCACGGAATTTCACTGCGGGCATAGAGGCCTTCCAGGGGCTGAAGCTGATGGCCTCTGCCCACACCCATTCTGCCCCCACAGGGACCCGCAGCAGTGGCCCCAGAAGGAGCGACTGCAGGCCCAATGGGCCTCACTAGAGATGGTGCACCTGGCAGGGCTAGCCCTGTTCCTGACCATCGTGGGGGCCCGTGTGGCTGCCCTAGTAGTGCTTGAGTTCTCCCTCCGGGCTGTGTCCACACTGCTCTCCCTGGGCAAGGTGAGATGGCAGGGAAGGTGTTAAGTGAGTCACTTGGGTTTTGATTGTCAAAGCAAAGTATCCACTTACGGTGGATACAACCCCAATCCCAAGAAAATAACTGCTACAGCTCCTGTTTCTGGAGCTTCCCAAATGCCAGACCCTATGCTAGATTCTTTGTTGCACCATCTCATTTAATCCTCCCAACCCCAGCAGGTAAAAGTTGTTATCCCCATTATACAGATGGGGAAAACTAAGGCTAAGAGAATAGGCTTGATTATGGTCAGCAGCAATCAGCAAGGGGTAGTGTCAGCCTTTGAACCCAGGTCTTTGAGGCTATGAGCCACCACCCTTTAGCTCACAGATGGGCCCCAATAAGACATGATTTAATTTAAAGTGAGGGAAATTCTATTAGGGTTTACCCTAAAGCCAACATGCCCTCTTTGGAAGCAACCCCCAAGGACCCTCAGATTGCAGTGTCCTACGGCTGGAGCAGCACCCATCACTGTCCCTCTGCTGCCACCCCTAGGGCTCCCAGGGCGCTGAGAGGCTCCAGCTTTACGTGCTGTGCCAGTACTCGCTGGGCTGCGGGCTGACCTGCGGCCTCAGCTTCCTGCAGGCGGGTGCCCCTCACCGCACGCTAAACCTGCTGCTGGGCCTTGGGCTGGCCGCACTGCTGGGCTCAGGGGCCCGGCGCCTCCAGCGCCACGTCTGCCGCCTCTACGAGCTGCACAGCAGCCAGAACTACTGTGGAGTCTGCCTGGGCCTGTTGGCCAATGCTCACAGCCTCCCCTGGCTTTTGGGCCGTGCCTTGGCCGTGGCCTTTGCTGTGGGTGACCTGGCAGCTGTGGCCCTCATCAACCAGGACTTCCTGACCACCTCAGAGGCCGTGCGCTTCTGGACACCACTCACCATCTGCTACACGCTGCTGGTCATCTACATGCAGGGTGAGGGCCACGAGGGCCTGAGTCCACTCAATTGACATTCACTGGCTCACACTCATAGCACTCTGGGAAGCTGAGGTAGGAGGATCTCTTGAGGCCAGGAGTTTGAGACTAGTCTGAGCAAGACCCTGCCTCTAAAAATAGCTGGGCATTGTGGCAGGTGCCTGTAGTCACAGCTACTTGGGAGGCTGAGGCAAGAGAATCACTTGAGCCCAACAGTTTGAGGTTGCTATGAAGTATGATGCCACGGCACTCTACCTAGGGTGGCAGAGTGACACTCTGTCTCAAAAAATAAAAAAGAAAGCCAGGATGTCTGTGGGGTAGTGAACAGAGACCAGGTGAGGATAGGGAGCAGGCATAGATCCAGCAGGGCCTCCTAAGGCAAGGTGAGGGTTTGGAATTTACTAATGTAATGGGCAGTCCCAGGAGGGTTATATGCAGAGCAGTGAAGGCCACCATAGCTGGTTAGCAGGCACCAATTTGTCAAGAACAAATTCCAGGGCTCGGCGCCTATAGCTCAACCGGCTAAGGTGCCAGCCACGTACACCTAAGGTGGTGGGTTCAAATCCCCAGCTCGGACCCGCCAAACAACAATGACGGCTGCAACCAAAAAATAGCCAGGCGTTGTGGCGGGCGCCTGTGGTCCCAGCTACTTGGGAGGCGGAGGCAGGAGACTCGCTTGAGCCCAGGAGTTGGAGGTTGCTGTGAGCTGTAATGCCATGGCACTCTACCCAGGGGGACAGCTTGAGGCTCTGTCTCAAAAAAAAAAAAAAAAAAAGAACAAATTCCAGGAGCCCAGTGAGGAAGCTGCTTTGAAAGGGGAACAGGGCTGGGACCGGGTAGGCCATGGAACAGCCAGTTCTCTGATGGGGACGTGTTTGCAGAAAGAGTTGACAGGGCAGACTGGTGGCTCAGACATGGATGTGCAGGAGTCAGGACGGGGGCAAAGGGAGACCAGTGGGTTGAGCAGATAGTCCTGGGAGGCAGGAGTCCCTGGCATCCTGTGGGTATTCAGAAAGGGGCAAGAGGAGCTGGGGGGGGGTCATGGCAGAGGGGAACATTCAGCCTGGGGATGTCAAAACTGGGAGTTGGGGGAGTCTAGAACCAGGATATGGGGGCAGGTGGTGACAAGCGCTGTGTCCCCTAGAGGAGCAGCGACAGCACCCCGGCATGCAGGGCATGCAGGGCCAGGTCCAAACGGTGCTGGTGCGCATGGGCGGACTCTTCGTGCTGCTGCTGACTGTGGGCCGCTGGCTGGACCTCCTGGGCGTCCTCATCTCCCTGCTGGGCGAGCTGTGGTGTCTGGCAGGCTCCCGCACCCTGCTCGACCTTTGCCAGATCCAGGTGGGCACCCCAGTTTGTGTGTTGTGTTCCCCTTTGGCACTGAAGCTGTGCTCCAAACAGCCCCGGGAGCCTGAGAGCCCCACATTTAGGAAGAATGGGGGTGACCTCTCTTGGGGTGGGGGAATGAAGAGAGCTGTAATTCCTCTGACTCCCACTCTAGCCAGGCTGGGGCTGCTGCCCAGGTCACTAGGAATGGGGAGGTTGAGAGGCAGCACCCCCTACCCTCTCTATTGCCCCCTCCAGCCTGTATCCCCAAACCCTGAGTGGAAGGAAGGTCTCCGATATCTGAAGCCTGAGCCCCCCCCTCCCCCCAGGTGATGTTCTCCCTCCATCCTTCACTCCCCACCTTCCTTCAGGATTTTCCATTCCAGAGGCCTTCGGTGTCAATGCCAAGCCAGCCCCAGCCCTCCGAAACTGCCCAGCCACAGAGGTCAGCTCCCTCCTGATTCACCTTAAGGAGGATTTGGAGTCTGTTTCAGGCCCACTTGGGCTGACCTGTCCCTTGATCCTGGGACACTGCCTGAAGGACAAAGTAGCAGGCTTGGCCCCCCAGGGGTGGACACAGGGGACCCCTGCAGGGAGGGCAGGGTTTGGGGATGGGGGCCTTGGAGAGAGGAACAACGGGGAGTCATTTGGTTTAATTCCTCTTTTTCTCAGGGTGGGTAATGAACACAGCCCCTCGGACCTGCCTTCCTGGGCAGGACTGGGGCATAGGGGGCACCCTCAGCATGGCTTCCCCTGTACCAGCCTCCCCTGTCCTCCCCATAAATAATAAAGGTGATGATTTTCTCAACCTGTGCTTAGAATCACAGACCCAGAGAGGGACAGAAGCCTTTCTGAGGCCGCACAGCTCTTCCAGCAAGGGATATGTGCCTCAGGCTGGCCTGGGCGGGGTCCCCTACAGACAGGGGAAGGAGTTCAGGAAGGGTGGCTGAGAGGTGAGGGGACAGGGTGGAAACAGGGACAGGATTCATGATCCAGTATCCACTTGCAGTCTTGGGTGGATGGTACCATATCATGTTCCATCCCAGGCTAAGAAACAGCTGAAGGAAGCCTGGGTCAATGGTGTTGGGTCCCTAAAGACCATATGGACCCTCCCTATCTCGGCCTTGTTGAGTCTGTATCCCTCGCAGGGCGCAGCTCAAGGAGCACAAAGGGTCAGGGGACAGCTGCTCTGCCTACTGTCCATGTGACCTTGGACAAGCCACTGCCACATGTCAGGTACTTTTACTATCTCATTTCATTTAAACATTGGCCCCAAGAAACAAGTACTATTATCCCTTCTTACAGATTCAGGAACAGATTCAGCAAGGTTAGGTAACCTGCTCCAAGGCACACAGGTAGTAAGTGTGAATCCAGGCTGCCTGACCCCCCAGAGTTCAAGTGCCTTGCAGGCTCCCTGCTGCCCTCCTCTTGTTGAAGCTTCTGATCCAGGGATACTGACAGCGAGAAGGGCAGCTGGCTGGCTCTGGGATGTGGTTCCAGCCACCTTTTGTCCAAGGAGACTGAAGCTCCAGCCCAGCCACATTCTCCTAGCCCAGGCACCCAGCCCACAGGACATTAGGTTCCATAGAGACTGAGGGCCCCAACTCAGGGCTCTATCTCAGGAGGGGTCCTTCAGGACCAAGGAGCCTCCCTAGCAAAAGGCTTCTAGGGTTAGAGAACCAGGGCTGTCTGGGGGAGATAGGCATCAGGATTAGAGGAGGCCTGGAGGTGGCACTGATATACTGGCTCTCATGGGTTCCTACCTTTCAGCAAAGGCCACCGCAGTCGCCCAACAGCTGCTGCTTGGGAATAGGCAGGGGCTGGCCCAGGACCCTGGAGCCCCCACCCAGAGCACAGCTGGGATGCAGGGTAGGCTGGACCCAAGCCAGGTGGGGTGGTTTCAGGACATCCCGCAGGAATGGCCGTCCCTTGGACAGCTCAAGCCTGACCTCTGAATGTTGTGCACAGCCCTACCACCAAGACAGGCGTCTCATCCCAGGGCATGGTTGCTGAGGTGGGAGAAATGCTTGTGGAAACCCCTTCCCCCAGGAAAAGACACAGCTACCTCTGCCTGGGAATGTGCTCCTTTCTCTCCAGCAGGAAACTTGCCCCAGTCTGGGAGGAAATGGCTCACTTAGGTGGGCACGGGGCCAGCCCTTTGCCAGACCCAGACTGGGCTTTGGGTTTCAACCAGGGCCCAGTGTTTTTGCTGGAAGGTGCTCTAGCCTCTTAGCCTCTGGCACAGCCTGGGATCCATTGGGGACAGGGCCAAGAGGGGACCAGACTCAGCAGTCCTTTCCTTTTTATGGGCACAGGGACCATTTTCCAAACAAAACTTGGGACACATGGGCTGGAATAGGAATTTTTTCTTATCAAATTATTTTTTTGAAAAGCTTGGCAAGATTAGAAAAATTAGATCACTCTAAATGAGGCATTTAGCAAATCTCCAGACCAAATGAGGAAAAATAAGCCTGAAGTCCAGAGGGCACAAGACAATCCCAATTTTATGGTCTAGGAGAAGCAGGGGGCTGGGACCACAGCTTCTCCCACAGAGACCGTAAGAGGGTGAAGCCTGGGCCTGACCACTAGGACCAGGGTCCTAGGGTGGGGGCAACATCGTCCTGAACAGGTGGGTGCCCAGTCTCTGCTTAGAGCCCGTGGTGCTTCTGCTTTTTTTTTTTTTTTTTGA